GAGGGTGGATGCATGTAAATGCATGTGTGCGTGCATAAAAGAAGTGCAGAATGATAAAAATATCAGCTTGGAGGGTTCAGGGTATCTCCTAGTCGAGCAGTCTCGACTAGAGTCTTCTTACTTGTTTATTTATAATTTTGTCTAGAAGACTTGGACTTTTGTGAGGATTTACTATGATCGGTTGCACCGCGTTTACGTTTATTTAGCGGATTGCGCGGATCGTATACATCATACCAATCATCACCTTTGGTAGATGCATCTTTGGCCAGCACAGGAACATTACTGTTAAAATTCAAGCTGTGTGCAAGCCAATCATCCCCAGAAATTTCCTTTTCCACTTCATTGTCGTCTACATCCTTCGGCTCTTTTTCGTCATCTTCAGAGTTTGATTTGTATTTAAGATTGTTCAATTTAGATTTAAACTTGGATAACAGGCTTAAAGTAAATTCCTCTCTGAAAAATAAAAAAAATTGGTTTTTATCACTCTCAATTTTAGACATGGCGTACAAACCTTCCTTGCCCTTTAAGCGTAGTTTTTGCTTTAGCTGTGTACTTCTCTTTTGTTTGTATGAAATCTTTGATATATTGATTTTCGTTCGCTCCCTTAATATCGTCCTTCTTTGCATTCTTTTCGGATTCCTTGGACAATTGCTTATCCTTGATGACTTTATCCATTTGATATTGTCGTTTCAATGAGGCGATTTCTTCCCGGATTTTAGATCTGAAATACATTAACCATGTAGTCGAAATTAAGTATACATCTCAAGCTAAACACGTACTTTTCTTTTGATATTTTTTGGTTTTTTTCCTCCTCCTGAGTCATTAAAACATCGTCTTCATCATCCTCAGATTCACTCTTGATATCTTCACGTTTTGGCTGCTTTGCCGAAGTGGGCTTCGACGTTCTTGACAGTTTACTTTTTATAATATCTGAATTGATAGAAGATTTGGTAACTGGTTCTTCCTCGCAATCGTCTGATAAGTGTTCGTAGTTCTGCTCTGGCTCGGACTCAGGCTCTTTTTTGGGCACTTTAATTGCTTCCTTGCTGAGCTTTGGATCATCCGTGACATCGTGCAATGATTTGGCTTTGCCGGCGTTTTGCTTTACAAATATTGTTGTCTCCTGTTCATCTCCTTCAGCCTCCTCTCCAAACGAAAGCAGTCCAAAGTTTCTAAAATGTCATTATTAAATCTGTAATAATTAAAAGCCCCAAAGGTACATATATCAAATTGAATACCTACTTGACGCCTTGCTTTTCTTTCTTGCTTTTTTTTACTTTGGTTGGTTTCGGTAAGGAACGCGGTACGATATCGTTGAACGGATTGCTGAGAACCTCTGTGGATATTATGCGATGCGCATACATGGGTCGCTCCTGGTGATCAACGATACCCTCCTCTAATTTGAGCATATTGAACACTGTATCGCCTGTGACTTTGCCAAAGAGCGTGTTTTTGTTTTCAAGCTCTGGTGTCGGCGCAAAGGTGAAGAAGAACTGCGAGCCGTTGTCGTCCTTGCCCGAGCTCGCCATCCCGACCAATCCGCGGCGGGAATAACGCAGTCGTGAATGGAATTCATCCTTAAATGGGTGGCCATAAATCGATTCTCCTCCGGTGCCATCGTTATTAGGATCTCCACCTTGCACAATGAATCCTTTAACCAGTCTGTGGAAAGTCGTGCCGTTGTAATAGCCCTCCAAACAGAGTTGAACAAAGTTACGACAGGCTTTCGGACACTCTCTGGCCCATAACTCAATATCGATGTCACCAACTGTAGTTCTCAAGAGTACTTTGCCAGATGTTGGCGGTTCCTGGATATAAATATTACTCATTTTTATATAAAACAAATAAATAAACTGAAACACCACGAATTGTTTACTCCAGCATCGATGGTGAATAGCTAGTGATGTAAGTATTTGAGCAAACTATCGATTTGATTTTTATATCGATAGGCTAGAGTTTGCAATACAGCTCAATAATTCAACCTGTTGCAGCTTGTTTGTACTACAAGTGTTTCCATATATTTGAAAATTAAATGTGCCTAAAAAATACAAAAATTCGTTACTAAGCAACGGTTGATTTTTCTTTCATTTCCCAAATTGTTCATTATTCTCATTTTGAACATTTTAGTAAACAACGGAGATACAATTATGAATTTTAGCGACGATCCCTTGGCTGATCTACTCAGTGATAATAGCTTGGATAATGACAATTTCTTCGACGCGCCAGCCGGTGGCGCCGTAGCAAAAAAATTGCCAAAATCCAGCAAAGCCAAAGGGAAACTCGAAGATTTATTCGGAATAAAAGAGGAGAGCGAATCAGATGCTCAGAATTCTGCAGCTGCAGCAGCTGCTAAACAGGGCAGTGCTAAATCAACAACAACAAGCACACCGCGCATTGTCAAACAGAAGCCTTCAATCTCCATGGATGATGCCGACGATGATGAGTTGGGATTTGATCCCAAGCGTCCAAAGAGCGGCGGAACAGCACGAAAAAGTCTCTTTGACGATTTACTGGGCGCTGCAGAACCTAAGCGAAACATTTTTGATGACATTGTAAGCAACAGCGATTCGGCAAATAAACGTCCAGCTACGGCAAAGCCCTCAATGTCCCGCCAGTCGACGGATACCACGACAGACAACTCCAACATGCATTCACAGGCGCGTCCCAAAACAGCAGCAAGTGCTGGTAGACGCAGCTCTGGAACTGTGCAGTCTTCCATTCTGAATGCCGATCCCCTGGGTCTCTTTGGCAAAGAGACGAATACCAATGTTTCGGGTATGTCTACTCCCGTGTCCAAAAAGCGCGGCACGGCTGACTGGCTGGGGTTGAGTTCCGACAATGCAGAAGCGTCTCCGGCTGCCGAGGAGGAGCTGGAACGCGCTGCCTCCCCACCCACGCCAAAATCCCCAAAAGAAACCACAACAACTCCAAAGAATAGCACAGAGATACTGCGCCTTCCGGACTCGGACGAGCCAAAGCTGGAGGCGAAACAGCCTAGCGTTGTACCCTCTGTGGATAGCACAGCTCATACTATCCTAATGCTAAACTCCTTAAACTTGGAGAGCAGTCACAGCTACACCGCTCTGCAGCAGCAGGAGACTCAGCTGACGATTGCAGCCCAAATGAAGAGCCAGGAGCGCGCCCTGGTGGAGATGCAGCAGAAGCAAGAGACACAGGATCGCAAATTTCAAGCGCTGCTGCAGCAGCAGCTGCAGCGCCAACTGCAAATGGAGGAGCATATCAAGGCCCAGCAGGAGCGCATCAATATGCACCTTCAACTGATGATGAGCCAGCCCATCGTGGCACAAGCCACAACCACCGATACCCAAACAACTCCCACTCAAAGCGAAAAGGTTTCAGCTGTTTCTGTGGCAGCCAAGGATGAGAGCAAGGAGAAGATGCTTCAGCTAGAAACGGATGTCAAGCGACATTTGCTGGAGAAGCAGCGACTGGAGGAGTTGGTAGCTAACATGCGAGTTAACTACGAGCAGGAAATCGAACTGATCGAGAGCTCTTACAAGTAATTGCTGTAAGTCCACTAAAGTCCACAAAGATCTCACAGTGTTTTTGTTTTTTTGATTAGAAAACAACTCAAGGTGTTGGAGCAGCACTTGACTGCAGTGGAGGAGCGTCTGAAGGTGGAGAACTCCGAGATGAAGGAGTACTACACAGATAAGCTGGAGAAACTCAAGAGCGACTACGAACTGCAAATCTCCAGCTTGAAACAGGACCACGAGGACGACTTGCGCGCGCTGCGTAGCTCGCACGATGCGGACATGGAGCGCATAAGGCAAGCCAAGTTACTGGAGCAGGCGACGGTGCGAGACCATGGCAGCTACTTGGAAACGTTGCGCATGGCGTCCAATGATCTGCAAGAGCTGCGCGAAGGCCTGAGCACAACAAAGGAACGAGAGCAGCAACTGGAATTGAGAGAGCGGCGTTTGGCAGATGCGGAGCGTCGCTTAAAGATCGACGAGGAAGGCGCCGACCAGGAGAAGCGACGCCTCATGGAGCTAGTGAGCACATTGGAATTGCAGCTGGAACGGCTCTCCAAGGACACAGCTGAAGAGAATTGGCAGTTGCGTCAGCGCATGGCCAGCATAGACTCGGAGAAGAAGGCATTCGAGCGGGAGAAGCAGTTCCATCGTGAGCAAATGGAACGCGACGAGAAGCGAGTGGAGGAGCTCAAAGCGCTGCAGCTAGCCGAAATTGAGCGCATGCACCTGGATGTACAGCAGGAGCGCAATCGCCTGTTAGTGGAGCAGCAGAAGCTCGAGATGCAGCACAAGCTGCATGAACAGAGCGACTTGGATAAGGAACGATTGGAGGTGGAGGCGCAGCTGCAGGTGGCGCGGGATGCCATCAAGAAAGCCGATGAGCAGCGGGAGCGCTGCCACAGACAACAGCGCGAGTTGGAGCAACGCAAGCGAGTGCTGCTCGAAAAGGAAAATGCACTCAACCTCAAGGAGGATGAGCTGGTGCAGACCTCGAGCACCTATCGCGTGGCCATTAAGCGTCTGCAGACGGCCGAGCAGAAGGCTCGGGAGGCCGAGCAACTGCTGCATGCCAAGCTGCAGCTGCTGGGCAAACGCGCCCAAGAGCTGAGCGAGAAGGAGGCACAGATCTCACAGGAGCGCATGCTACTCACTCAAGATCGCATTGCCTTGCATAAAATGAAGCAAAAGATTGGCCAAAGCAAATGCGCGCTCTGCAAGATGGGCGTTGAGAGCGTGGAGTTCAATCAACGCATGGCCGCCCATGGCCAAGGCCATGACATAGGAAGAGCCGAGACGTCTACGCTAGAGGCAGAGGCTCATTCTCAGTCCAGATCTCATATGGAGAATCAAACGGCAATTTCGGCGGGTGATATTGTAGACCGCATGCTGGACGAAAACATTGAAGCCTCTTATCGTAGAATGTATAATTTGTCGGAAAATGGAGAGCTGGATTTTTTGACAACTCTTGGACTTGATGATGACTCGAAAAAGTTGGCTTTAGACAATGGAAATGCCTTGGACATCGAAGAATTAATGTTAGCCAATCTGAATACGCGATAGATTAATTTAAAAGTAACAATATTTGAATTTGTCGATATTTTGAAATAACAATCGATATATCCAACTTAGCTTTCAGTGTGTACATTTGCGTTAAATATTAAATTTCATTCCTCTGCTTGTTGCATTCCGCTTTGCGCATTTTTCCGTGGCGTTTGTTATTATTCTTTTGTGTGACGAAGCAACCGTAGCATTTTAGTAACATTCAATTAAGTATATTTATTATGTTGTTCAATAATTTCCGTTAATAATATGTTAAAATAATCAGTATTTCGCGTTCTACGCCTACGTGTATTAGTGTGTTCAGTTTCGTTTTTTGTGCAAGTTTAAATTTGTATGTGTAGTGTTATATCTCAGTTTATATGTATGTAAGCTTGTGTATGTGAGCGGAGGAAGCTCCAGAGCCGCGGAAGTAACAAGAAATCCAAATGAAAACGCAAAAAATATATTGCATATGAAAATTGACGCAATAGAACTCGACGACAATTTTTAGCGAGTACGAAAAATCCAGAATTGAGCTACGTAAGTGGATGAAAAGCGAAAGCAAATATGTGCATATAGTTGAATACGTATGTATGTGCATGTATGTGTGTGGTGCCAACAGAACATACATATACATACTTCGGTGTTTGAATTTTGGCTATGAATTTCTTAAAATAATGCTGATTATTGTAATATCCATCTATATTGTTTTTGCTCGGTCATTCTTGTTCATTCGTAATTTAGTAAAATTTCTTCACGCCGTTTGTGCCAACACCTACATTTTGTTATATCTTTATGTGTGTACACACCTTCGCCAATACGTATGCATACATATGGACATATGCAAATTTTAACTTGTCGAACTGCTGCTCCTCATACTCATCACATCATTTGTTGTTCGCTTATATATTCATATATTTTATTGATTGGCTTTAACCTTTGCATCATTGCCATGCTGCTCTGCCTGGTACTTCGCCGGTTTATGTTTTCTTATCTCTAGTGTCTTCCTTTTGATAGCAATTTAATTTCGTTTTCATATTGTGTGTGTATGCACCGGTACCACATCTGTGTTTCTATCATGTGTTTGTGCGTGTGTTTGTGGGCATTCATGCTGAACAGCTGTTCCCCTCTCAAGGCAATCGTGAGAAAGTAGCGCATTTGTTTGTTTTTATTCGCCGCGACACACAGAATCCCAGCAACAAAACGAAAGAAGATCTTGCTGATTATACAAAATTATTTTAAAAAAGTAATCAGATATATTTTTTAAAAATTATTTTAGATTTCCTTTTCGCATCATAAAACACAAATAAATAAAAAATCTAATATATCAGCTAAAAAGCACATACATTTTTATTAAATGTAATTTTGTGTATTTTATTTAAAATAGGGCTACAGATACCGTGAACGTTTTCTCTTCATATCTGTTATGAACAACAGATACTACTTAAAAACTTGTTGAATATTACTACATATTCGTATCTGAATAATTAAAATATAGTCTGTTTTTACGCTTTTCTTTATATGACAACAGCTGTTTAGAAAAGCCCTTATCAAAGTCAAAACATATTTCAGTTGAGAGCCAAACGCAATATATAAACTTTTGCTCAACGGTCTTAGTTTGTCTGTTAGTTCTAGACAGTCAGGTAAGGAAGCATCAATTATAAATTTGGTAAAAATTACAGCATTTGCCATTATTTTGCAAATCAAACATTATTTTTACAGTAATTTGTTAATTTCCAAAATCCAAGATAAGGGCTCTTAGTAACACAGAAACCCAGTTCAAAGCCAATAAAGACTAAACGAACTGGATTAAAATATATAGAAATGATTTAATAACTATTGAAAATATTTTCATGTTATAGTTTCTCAAAAGTAAAATACAATAAAAAAAAGTATTTAGGCAATGTCTAAACCAAATTAAAACAAAAGTACAATTGATTAACATTTTTTATTTGTTTATTAATTTTGATTTATTTTTGTAAGCCGCTTAGATAGTGAAATATTGACTCATCGGGCAGATACGAGAGCAAAGTTCCTATAATACAAATTGAATTGCAAAAATGATAAGCTATAAATTATCGATCCGTTTCTACCTGGTGTGCATTAGCCACATTTGAAACATGATTGGCTTTGAGGAACAAGTCCAAACGCAAACGAAAAAAAACGAAAAAAAAAAAAAAATAAATAAACATAAAGACAAGAATATTTAATTTTGCTTTGTCTGTATGATATTGTTGGACGTTTACGGCACCTAATCACTTTTATCGTTGATTTTGTTATCGCACGGGCGAATGTGGCGATAAGCACAGAAATATACTCACAAGGCATTGCTCGGATTGAAAACAACATTTAGTCTACAAATATTAAATTTGTGTTTCTTTTGCAGTAGCTGGTTGCGGGCGAGGACTCTGAGTGGACAATGTCGAATCAGGCGCAAATCGACTATGACAGGCAATTCCAGGAGGACCTGGCCAAGGCAACGGCACTCAGTCTGGAACAGCAGGCACTCGACGACTACAGGCGAAATAAGAAATACGGCACTGGCTATCAAACAGTAAGCGCCGACTACTACAGTCAACAGCAGCAGCAGCAGCAACAGCAACAACGAAGTCATGGTGCAGTGCAGCGACGGCACTCGGAGGTGCATCAGGCGAGCTCGTCGTATAGCAGCAGCGCGGGCCGGGCAAACACGCCGCCGGCTCAGACCAACAATGGCAATGGGGATAATGACCTGATCTGCTTTGCCAGTCCCACGACCAAGCAGCCGACGTCGGAAAGCGGCAGCTCCTTCGAGCGGCTAATTGAGGATCTGCAGCGCCTGCAGACCAATAGTCCGCAAACGGCATTGGTGCCGGTGGGTCCCGTGGCGGCTGCAACGCCAATGCCCGTGCAGTACGCAGCACCACCGTACGGTGTCCCACCACTAGGAGAGGCAGGCGGCGTTGGCATGCAGCTGGTGCCTTATCAGGCGCCGCCGCAACAGCCACAACAGCGACCGCTGAACAACGAAGAGCTGCAGCGCCTCTACAGCATGCCCAACCACTTGGCACTGCAGCCCGTTGTCCCGGTCCGGCCAGCTGGCTTCGTGTACTATCCAACGTTCTCTGCACCAGTTGTGCCCGGCTCGGCTGCCTATTTGCCGCCGCAGTATCCATCGCAGGCCTATGGCTATGGGTATGCGTTGAGCAACGGCGGCAGCTCGCACGTGGACTTTGTGCGTCCGCACAGCAGTCCAGCAACGGCAGGAATACCAACTCCAGTACCAGCGCCATCATCCAGCCACTCTGTTCCACATTCCGGCGCAACAACGCCAGCGGCGTTCAATGTGCAACGGGCCACGCCTCCCGTTGGCAGCTGCCCTTCCGTTGGACCCGCGCTGCCAGCTCAGCGCAGCGGCAACGATTTGATCGATTTGAACAAGGATGATTAGTATGCATCATTAAATTAAAAATTCTAACTACCACGATTCGTCTCTTTAATTGGCTGTTCTCTTTTGCAGTTCCCGAGTGAGTGTTCTGGAGGCATTCGATCCGCTGCTGAATGAGAATTCTGGTAAGCACTGGTTGAAGTTATTGTCCGATTCATCTAACTCAAAGCGTATTGATCACACGTTTTTCCATTGTAGCGATTAGACTTGAAAAAGACTTTAAGCCGTGGATTCAGTTTAAATGATCATCAATGAAGATCTTAAATTACTAGTAAAAGTCCGCTAAAGAGCAATTGATAAACGAAAAGATTATTTTTCCTAATTATTATAGGGTTGAATAGTTTTTTATTTTAATTTAATTTTTTTTTGAAGTCGCAATGAGAAATACTTTCAAATATTTATATTCATGCAGTAGACAATTGCGTATTGTAGTTTAGACTTATTAAAATCCTGATTTCTAATGCTTTGATAGCAAAAAAAAAGGAATGTATGATATATGATATGACTGCAAATTTTTTTCAGCAAATTTGAATCTTTGATTAATGTTAGAAATGCATGAAGTGAACTCCTTGTCCTTGTCCGTTTGTTGTTTAAATTGTTGTATAATGTCTATCTATTCGATTTGAATTATTGTTTTGGTAATATTGTTTCACGCTGTTGTTGTTGCTGTTGTTTATCCATACCAAAGTTATATGCAAAACATAAAAATAGTTAAAACCTGTTAAACTGAATGTTTTCTGTTTCTCTATCTTGCAGTGTCGCAAAAGTAATACATTTTAGAGCAAGACTTCTACTACTATCCATACTAAGTACCACATACTACTACCAAATAACTGCAACTATTTAACTATGTACTACCACAACACCACCCACCCAGAACAACAACAACAACAACAACTATTAAAAGAAAAGTCAGGCGACACATACACAACAACACGTCATCAGCTAAAAGGCAAAATGGGCTCAGGGTTTCATGGTGTGGATAAATCTGAATTCAAAATAATAATAATAATACCTGCCATGTATATGTTAATAGAACCCACTTACACAAACACACACATATATAGTATATAAATAACACTCTTAAGTCGAAAATTTGTGCCTTCCACGACTGCACTAGAAAGTGAGAGTTTTATGCCAATGACACTGATCAAACCGATGGCCGCTATATCACATTAAGCATCACAGAAATAATATATATACCTATATGTATATAAAAATTAGTATTTCTACAAAATTTAAAAACGAATTTGACAACTCTGTCTGCGACGGCAAATCACATAAAACTGAATTGAACTTATTTTTTTGTTGTTATGAGTATTATGGAACAGAAGACATTGTGGTTTCCAGCCACATATTTACATATACATACACATATATAAATATATAACAATATATTATTTTAATATACATATGTCAAATACAAGCTTGTATAACTTTTGGAGACCAATAATAAACCATTATGTCTGAGAATAAAAATGCCAACATTTTGTTGTTTTATTAAACAATTCAACGCTGAGCGTCCGCATATAGCGAATTTAATTTTTTGATTTTCGCTCATGATATGGAATCACGTCAACATGATATATATATATATATGTATGTATGTATGTATGTGTATATGTAAATATATAGATAGAGAACGATTTTACTTAGAAACTAATTGCTTAGTTCCCCATTATTGAGTGTTATCAATTGCTAATTCAGTCTATATATCTTTATAAAGCTTCTTTAGCACATTAAAGGGAAAGGTCAAACAGAATACCGTCTGAGATCTGTGTAAATATTTAAATATATATTTTTAGTTTGATTTGTGTCGCGTAGGCGTCCGCCGCCGACAGCTGAGCCAATTGGCCTCTGGCTGAACTGAAAATTGGTTAGAATGGGAGGCCGCACATAACGAGCCGAACCGATTTGTTAGCATAGTTTTGCGAAATATTCTGAGAGACAGTCTCTCAGTTGCGTTCGCGGCTGGCTGGGCTTTTGTTTATTTTATTTTTGTCTGCATGCTCGGATCGGATCGACTCGAGTTGATCGTGTGGTCATTTGCATAATAGTGAATCGTGCGATTGCTTGTGCTTAATTAACTCGCTGACTGACGATGCACTCGTTACTTGCAGGCAACGACGGCGCCTCCGACTGCACTTCCTACTACGCGGACTACGATCCGTTCGACTTCCTCTATAGCGGCGACAATGGCACTCAGTACTCGGACCCCATGTACGAGGCGGTCAACAGGTGGGACAAGAGCGCCGTTAATAGCGGCAGCGTTAGCTCGATTGGCTGGCGACAGGACTACCTCACGCAGCCCTCTCACTCCCACTCGCCGCCACTCTCATTACAAGCATCAGCAGCAGCTGTTGCTTCAGCCGCGTCGACATCTGCGCAAGCAGACAGCAGATCCAACACGGGCTCTGTATCGCCGCCGCCGCCGTTGCCGCCACGAAACCAGCAGCTTTATGAGACAGGCGCCACAACTTCGACCATTTCGCAAACTTCATCCAAGCCGCATCAGCTGGCGCCGTTCACAGACAGCTACACCAACAGCATACCAGCGCACGTCGTGCTAGATCGTCGGAAAAATTTCACGCGCCTCTACCAGCTAATCAGTGAGCAGCGCTCGGACGATTCCGAACTCCTGGAGTTCTATCATATGGTGCGCGAGCTACGAGCCAGCTATAGGCACGATGACAAAAAGACAAATGTGGGACACATCATAGCCGCCGAGTTCAACTATCACTACATGATGGACACCAGCATCAAGGTCATTGTGCATCCGGCTGTGAATACGCTACAGCCGCACGCTCTGTCCAGTTCGTTGGCTGGCGAACAGGTCAAGGGCTATGGCACGCCAGTTACCTTCACCTGTGACAGTAAGTGTCATTAATTTGGCTTTGATCAATCATCTGGATAATGCAGCAAATCTCTCCTTGCAGTTGACTCGGTCGTGGCTCAGGTGGTGGCGCAGGCGTTGGCCTCGCTGGAGGGTCAGGTCCAGGGCACAGTGACGGACTATGCGGTCAAGGTGCGTATGGAAAGAAGGTTTCCATATTAGGTGACACTAACTTGTTCCTTTTGTTGCAGCCCATTGGTCTGCTGGAGTGGCTGGCGCCCACTTCGAAGCTGAGTCAGCTGGAGTGTGTGCACAACAGCTTCCAGCTGGAGAAAGACGTGCACTTGGGCCTGTGCTTGCGCACCGCTGCCAATATGGAGGCGATTGCGCGCACTGAACAGGACGACGAGAACGACGCCGATCTGCAGCCGGAGCAAGTGCTGCCCAATGAAGTGGTGCCCATTGTCACTTACGACAACATGATGATACTCATTGAGACGCTCGAAACGGAAATCGATAAGCTCGAATCGTCGGCAGACGGTGCGCCGTCCGGCCGCAGCATTGTCAGCTGCTCGGGCGTGGTTCAAGCTGTCAAAGCAATTTGTGCGTTGCTTGGCTCCATTGACACGTTGGAGATCGCCCGTTGTATTTCGGACTTGAGGCGCATATGCGAGGAGGCTCAGACCAAGTATGCACCCCTGGCGGGCTCGAACAATCCAGAGATTATCAGTGACTATGGCGAATATGCCCAAGTGACGCTGCGACCGCGCTCCATGCTTGAGCAAATCAAATTAAAGTGCAATAGCTTGCGTGATGCTGTCCAGGAGCTTATCGAACTGTACGCCAATGTGTTTCGCGTTGCCTTCTCGGTGAAGACCCCTGACTATACCACAAGTGAGTGAATGCTGTAATTCCTTGAGCTTCTTGATAATGAGCAAAACTCTCCTAGCGCCCATACCCGTCTCGTGTGTGTCCAAGCCGATTGTGGTGAGCATCAATTGCCTGCACAGACCGCCGCCGAACTGGAAATACGACGATTACTCGCTCTGCGTGCAGCTTGTCTATGGTACGCGCCTGTTGTCCAATCCGAATGTGTTGAGCTGTTCCAATGATACGTCCGGCGGCCTGTTTCCCCGGCTGAACTTCAGCGCTTGGCTCACCTTTGACCAGCATCCAATCTGCACGCTGCCACGGGAGGCGCGTCTCACGTTTGTGCTCTACGGCAAGCAGGCGGCTAGCGAGAATGAACCGAATGCGGAGCCGAATGGCGAGCGGCGACAGGTGACGACGGAGCTGGGCTGGTGCTCCATACAGCTGTTTGACTTTAAGCGCACAATGATCTGTGGCCCCTATTTGCTGTCCGTTTGGCCACCGACCACTGATAAAATGCTGGGACCAGCTCCAGCGCGTGGCTGTCATCCGCACCCCGACTTCTGCCCGGTGCTCAGCATTGAAGTGCCGCCCTATGGCGGACGCATTGAGTTCCCTGAACATCAGGAGGCACCTAAGCCTGCTCCACAGTAAGCTTAACCGATTAAATACTTGACTTGTGGCTCAGTTTTATTGAATGAATTTGTTGCAGTTATGACTTTGCCTCGTTGGACGCTAATCTGCAGGAGGAGCTGCTGAATACAGCCGAGCTTGGCTACTCAGGCGCAACGGAGCGCCGCGAGGTGTTCTGGGAGAAGCGTCTCTACTTGCAGAACTACCCAAATGCGTTGCCCAAGGTTCTGCATGCAGCGCATAGCTGGGATTATGCCAACCTGATTGACCTGCATTCCTTGCTGCATTCCTGGGCACCTCTGTCGCCGCTGCAGGCATTGGAACTGCTGCTGCCCCGCTATCCGGATGCCAAAGTGCGCGAGAAGGCTGTCGAGTGGATCTCACACATGCCCAACGATCAGCTCGTAGATTTTTTGCCGCAGCTGGTGCAATCGCTGAAGCACGACACGTACGAGGCTTCGGCACTTTCGCGTTTCCTGCTTGCGAAGTGTTTGGAGTCGCCGCGCTTTGCCCATCACATGTACTGGCTGCTGGTGCACAGTCTGCCCGATGATCCGCTCAACTCGATTGGGGCCTCACTGGTGGATCAGGAATACGACGAGTCGCAAATCACACAGGCTCGCTACTATCGTCGCAACAAAATGATGCTGCGCGCCCTCATGGCCATCTGTGGCGAGAAGCTGCTCAAGCGTTTCATGTATCAGCATCGCATGTGTCAAGTGAGTTTGTAGATACAAAATCCCCATAATTGAAGTAGCTCATCATAACTTCTTTTGTTTGTCACAGAATCTGTCCAAGATCGCGGAGTCCGTTAAGGAAGCTAAAGAGTCGATGCGTCAAAAGAGTCTGGTCGCAGGCATGGATGAAGTGCATCAAGATTTGCTAGAGAAGCCCACCTGCCTGCCTCTGGGTCCTGAGCTGGAGGTATCAGGTGTTAATGTGCGCAACTGCAGCTACTTCAACTCCAATACGCTGCCACTAAAAATCACCTTTGTGGGGCCAGATGCTGAGCCCTTACCAGCTATTTTTAAGGTAAGCTAATGCAGCTTTTGCAGCTACTCATTCTAATCTCTTTGTTTCCCATTCTCGACAGTGTGGAGATGACTTGCAACAGGATATGCTGACGATCCAGCTGATACGTATCATGAATAAGATGTGGCTAGCCGAACGCTTGGATCTCAAGATGGTTACGTTTAATTGTGTGCCCACTGGGTACAAGCGCGGCATGATCGAACTGGTGTCAGAAGCCGAAACACTACGGAAAATCCAGGTCGAATGCGGTCTTACAGGCTCCTTTAAAGATCGACCCATTGCCGAATGGCTTGGCAAACAGAATCCGAGTCCGTTGGAGTATCAAAGTGCAGTGCGTAACTTCACACTCTCCTGCGCTGGCTACAGCGTGGCGACTTACGTGCTGGGCATCTGCGATCGACACAATGACAACATAATGCTTAAGACCTCGGGACATCTATTCCACATCGATTTTGGCAAGTTTCTGGGCGATGCTCAAATGTTTGGTAATTTCAAAAGGTGAGTTAGACCTACGGCTTCCATATGATTACAGCAGTCTAATATACATTTTGTAATTGCAGAGATCGCACGCCTTTTGTGCTCACCTCGGATATGGCATATGTCATCAATGGCGGTGACAAACCGTCCACCGACTTTCACTACTTCGTTGATCTCTGCTGCCGTGCCTTTAACATTGTCCGCAAGAACGCCGACCTGCTGCTGCATACGCTTGCGCACATGGCCACGGCGGGCATGCCGGGCGTGAACTCAAATGCGGTCACCTATGTGCGTCGCGCACTGCTGCCCTCACAGTCGAATCCCGAGGCGGCGGCCACCTTCGCCAAGATGATACAATCCTCGCTAAAGAGCTGGTTCACTCAATTCAATTTCTTTCTGCACAACCTAGCGCAGATGCGCTTCAACAATGACGAAGGCTCGGGCGAGCTTCTATCCTTTGTGCCCCGCAAATACACGTGAGTTGCTGGAGTATAATAATAAAACGAACATAGATCTTCAATCGTTCGTAAACTATATCCACAGCATGCAGCAGGATGGCCGGTTGAAGATTGTCAAAGTAGTGCGATTCCAGAAGCATTACAGCATGGAGAAGTATTATATGTACATTCTGCAAGTCACACGCCACGGACAACTGGATCCAACCCATCTGTTTCGCTCGTATCGCGAGTTCACCGAGTTCCATCAAAAGTTGTGCATGCACTTTCCACTGGTCAAGCTCCACAGGTAAGTAAATTATAGATAAGAGTTAAGGTCTTAGAACGATAAGACAATCGTTTATCATTGAAGTAGGCTTACTTATTATGATTATTATTTTTTTTATTATTTATTTTTGATGAACACATTTGTTACGGGGAATTCTTTATTTATTAGTGATTTCTGCGTAATAGGAACTATACTTTTTTCCTGAATTAACTTCTTCTGTAGGAGATAATAATAAAGATAAGACAGTTATCATTGAAGACGGCTTAATTGTTGAACGTGGTTAATAATTCACTTTGGTGGAATTATGTGTTGAAGCTAATAACTTGTAAAATAGATTGTCTTAGTAATGCTTTACTAAAGTTGAAGGAATTCTTTCCCAAGTCAATTTAATTTTTTAAGATCATCTATAAACAGGGAACAGCAGAGAATAACTCCCGAAACTCCTTTAATGAACATATCTTATATTAATCATAAATTTATTTAAATATAGTCAACAATATATGGCAACTTCTAACGTACTTTGGATATATACATATATATTCATATTTAGAAGTGTGTGTGTGTATGTCCCTAAAGACATATTTACATGTAAAATACTGTCTTCGCTAAGGAAATTCAGACCAGCATTTCGGTATTGGGATTCTAAGCCTCTGTAATTCGTTCACTCTGCGTCGTGTGATCTAATCCAGCGACAGGCCGCAATGCCTCTGTCAGGGAGCGATGCTGACGTATGGCTCGTCCAAATAATTCGTCATCGCTATCTTCCTGCGAGATCTGGGAGCTGAATAGCTTGGGTACATCACCATCCCGCTTAGCATTTGGTGATTCGGGCTCCTCAGGTAGCAATGTGATTAAGCGCTGAGTTGCCCTCGGTGGCAACGATTCCCTTTCACTTTGATCCTCAGCTGAGTCAAACTCAGTGTCTGACTCTGTTGAGCTAGGCACCTCGGCAGATTGATAGTATTGCAAGTTTTCCACATCGAAGCGCACCTTGAGAGTACGCGCCTTCCGCTTAGCTGGCTGTGGTGGTGGTGGTGCAGCGATTTCCTCTAATTCCTCCTCGCTAGAACTGGAGCTCGGCAATTCCTCGGGCTCGTAGCAGTTCAATGGCGCCGCATGGCCCCTTACACTGAGCGTTGCCAGCTTGGAGACGCGCGGCGCTGGCTGAGGTGTCCGGCGTGCCGGCATTGGCGATGGCGGAATGTCCAGATCCTCACACAGCTTATCGAAAGCACTAACCTCTGTATCGAGAGGGGGGGAGTTGCCATTCACTTGCAGCTCTACGAACATATCCTCTATGCTGCTCACAAATTTAGGAGTGCTCCCCTTGCCTACGACATCTTCGTAGTTGGGCAACTTTCGATTTGTTCGCGATACCTCGAGCTGCATCAGTGACTCGTAGTCGGGCAGGGTAGGTGAAGCAGGAGACCTCATATCATATGGAGGTGGCTCTGAATTATTAGCTGCCCGCTGTGCTCTTATCTCATCTGAGGACGCCATTAACTCCATTTCCCGAAAAAGTGTGTCTTCTCGCACGACATTTTCTAAATCGGACGCAACAGCGCTTCGCTCAGTGCGTGGCAACTCGGTCATTGACCAACTGCGTTGGCCTGCAGTCGCTACGCTTTCCAGATTTTCAAAGTTCTCCCAGTCATCATCGATGGTCTTTCCAAAGCCTGGGGGGCTGCCGGGCGCTGGTAGCTCATTTTGCAATCCAGTAAAGTCGGTTCGCATATCCAAGATATCCGCTTCGTTCATTTCATAGGATGAGCGAATGCGCTCAAATTCAACATCGTCCACATGGTGTGGCAGTTCTAGATCGGCGAACAAGTTGCGGGCGATAACGGGTTCCGTTTGATCAACAGATTCCGGTGTACCAGCTATGATTTCCACAACGAATGCTGTTTCCGTGTGATCTAATTCAAGGGGCTCAACATCTCGTGTTGATTGCGGGTCCAGTTCAGACTCTACTCTTGGCTGTGGCTCAATCTTTGATACTTGCTCAGTTTCCGGCTCCGGTTCTGGCTGAGAGTTTCTCTGAGCCATGGTCGCCGACTGATGCACTTGGGCAGCCACTGAAATAGCAGCTCCGACTTGATCATCATCGGGCGTTAAGAGCTCTGGGACATCATCTACCTGTTCATATTTGATATAGCGTCCTCGCTCCTTTTTTGTGATTTCCGATTTATTCGCTTCCTTGACTTCCTCGTTGGCGGCCTTGACGCTAATCAGTTTGTATTTTTCGGCAAAGTGATCGAAATCGGGTATGTCCAACTGAGAGGGCGGCTCCGCAGCTTCCAACGTGATAGGCGGTGCCGGTGGTTCGCGCGTAGGCGGCGCTAAGTAGTAGTCATAGCTAGAGCTACGCGCTCCACGATGTTTACGTCGCGCTGCTGCATGCTGTGGACGACGGGTGGCTGTTCCACTCAGTTCTGGTATGCTTGTCTCCTCTTTGTAGTCATATGGCGCCAATGTGTTCAGCTGCAAATTGGGCACACTAACGGCGAGGTATTTTTTGGCTGTCAAAATAAACGTGAATGGCAAAGATAATTAACATGAGTAATATTTAATATAAAACTGAATTTTATGCGTATTTCTAATGGCGTTACAGTTATCGCCTTACTCTAGTCATATCCGCCCACCCAGTTGAACATTCTACAGGGTATTCAGGTGTGATATCTTTCTCACTAACGTGTCATGATCATACATATACATATATGTATGTGTGTATTTATGTCTGTATAAAATCAAAGCAATTTACTTCCAATTCCATTCACATTAAGTAATTCTGCACACACACACTTGCACACGTACAAACATACATACACACAGGTCGTAAAAATACATGTACATACATATGTATTTGTATGAGTGCTTGGTTCCGCTCACCTGTTGAATTTGTTGGCCTGGCACTTTCGAATTCTTCGATATTCCGTTGGCGAAACACTCCATGCACAGCGTTGTCTGTGCCGTTTACCTGCAAGTGCAATCAAAATATTCTTATGGTTTATTGATGAGCAGCAAACGGTTACAATACAAAATTTGCTAACAATTAAAACAGCTGTGGCCTCAGCTGTGCACGCCTAATGCTTGCACAAACAACAACAACGAGGTGCAATAATAACAATTTCGGAATGCGTCATAAACTTAACTGTAAAAGTGTTACACACATGCTCATGAACGTAAAAGCAAAACTATTGTGCGTGTGTTTGTGCTGCGAATAAGTACCGACGCAAATGCAAATTAGAGATGGGCTTTCGAAAAATAATATTGATCAGTGTCGATCCTGGTGGAGGGAAATAATGACTATGGAAGTTAACAAAATTTCAATAGTTTAATTTGATTTGAAAGCTATCCTTTAAGCAGTTTAGAGTATTATCGATACATAATAATATGCGAGGTTCATATAGTAATTAAATGAAGGTCCCCCTTATCGATAGGCAACTCATGCCTCACACGTTCTCATCTCTATTCTTATTGACAACTTAACACTCACTCACAAACATCTGTATATGTGTATATAAACAAAGCACGAATACACTGGCTTTGAATCTTATCAGAGTGTGAGCGAGAGAGCACGAGTGCTCGTTGGCGTTCATAATTTTATCAGTTGCTTATTAACCTTTATAAATGGCTTGCGCTGAACCAGGCATCGATTTTATTGACATTTTTTTAAATTGTGTGAATTGTACATATTACGCACCTGTGATTCGTAGGCTGCATAACGTGGCGCAGTTTGCGGCTGCTGCTGAGCTGTGCGCGTTGACGATCGCCCGCTGCCGCTGCTGCTGCTGCTGTCGAATGTGAGGCGCCGTCTAAAGCCCCAGATTTTGATGCCGAGCAGCGCCAAAACAAGACTCATCAGGAGCATGATGGAGCTGGCCAAAGGACCCAGTGCCGCCTGCTGGCCTGTGCAGAAGTCTTGTTGAGCGGTTGGACTTAATGGAAGGTAGCTGCTAACTTACCTTGGCCCACATACGTTAGCTGAGCCATCGCTGCTATTCGCTTTTGGCCAACATATCGCAGTTGCACACCTGATTTTTATGAACTTTTTGCAGCACTGCTGCCTCGTCTTCAGTTCGGTTCTGTTCACCACGTTGGCGTTAATCGAACCCCAATGTCGCAGCTCTCAGTGCGCTCGGCTCTCAGCTCGCAGCTCGCAGCTCGCAGCTCTTAACGCTCAGCTATCGTCGCTCCGGCAAGCAGCTCCCCGTTCTCAGCTGTTGCCGTTCGCCCGCTAACTGATTGAGCGGCGTTGTCGTCGCAGTTTTGTTAACTGCCAACGCTCACAACGTTATCGCAAAGATATCGCGGCGCTCCCACTGTTTTGCCTCTCGCTGATAGTTTGGCAGTTTGAAGTCTCATTGGCTCGTTGGTGGCTCGCTCTTCTTTCACCCACTGCTCTTTGATTCGGCACGCTTTGGCCGTGAATCAAAGGTATCTGTCGCAGCTGCTAATTTATCAGCCATTATAGTTTGTTACCTCTTGCCAATAGTTTGCCACTTGCTCGACGGCCATTGATAAGCAATCGTCTAATTTGAATGGGTGCGTTATCTGTCTTGTTTACTCTTTTTGCAGGTTCACAAACTTCTTTTGTAGAGTTATACTTAAGTTAAGTCGAAACTTGTTCCTTTTCCTTGTCTAAACTGATAAGTGATTAACTATTAATTATTCAGCGTGTGTTTGCTATTAGTAATGGCCTTAGTCACTGCTAAATTATTCTCATTGATAAATCATAGCTTCACAAAATTTGATAATTGATGGCGCTTTAAAATGATAAGAAACATTATGATTATTTTCAAGTTTTATTGTAATTTCATCAGTGGGTGCTCCATATTTAATTTATTTTTATACTCATTCACGAGTCATTAGTCACGGCTCAAACTTATTTATTTTTTATGTTCTTCATTTACTCTCGAAAAATATTAAACATTTCCTGTTTTACTTGTTTTCAGCTTACCAACGGGCGTCCATGTGGGTCGATCCAATATTAAATCTGTGGCCGAGAAGCGCCTACCTCTGATACAGCGTTTCCTGAAATCGCTTTTCGATGCACCCGAAGAAATTGCGCACTCCGATTTGGTATACACATTCTTCCATCCGCTGCTGCGCGACCAGCAGGAGGCCAAGTTGGAGATGCCCAAGATAAAAGGTAAGCTGAGATGTCCATGCTCTGGTTATGACACGATTAACAAATGCTTTACGTTACAGAGGTGAAGCGTCAGCCGTCGCGGGATAATCATAATGAAATTGGCCAGATACGTCTTTCGCTGCAATATCAACGCGGCGTGTTAACTGTGATGGTGTGTTAGCCAATCAAGTGTGGCCGAAGGCCTGATTAAATATGTGCTGTTCTCCTGTTACAGATACACCACGCCAAAGGACTGCCCATGCTGCAGGGTGGCCAGGAGCCGAACACCTATGTCAAATGCTACCTGAAACCAGATCCAACTAAAGTGACCAAGCGCAAGACCAAAGTTGTGCGCAAAACTTGTGTGCCTAGCTTCATGGAGACGGTAAGGGTCGTAGTCATTGTGGAAAATGCAAGATTATCAAATTATATGTTATGTTATCTGCAGTTGGAGTACCGCATGCCACTGGAGATTGTGCAGCAGCGCCGGCTGCAGGTGACTGTCTGGTCACATGATACGCTGCAGGAGAACGAGCTGCTTGGCGGCTTCGAGTTGGACCTGTCCAAGCACGATTTGCGTCAGGAGCTCTGCGACTGGCATCGCTTGGGATCGGTGCCTAGGAATTGAATGATGTCTGCTGGCGTTCACGGAACGACAATCTGACCTAGTTCTAAACACGCACACACTCACTCAATCACACACACACACACACACACACACACACACACATTTATACACTTATATGTTTGTGCCTGTCTCTTTAACGCAATAATACTTACATACTCAACGTGATTGTACATTCCATATACATATACATGTATTTATATATGTATGTGTGTATATTACTTATACATATATTTACTTATGTCTAACTAGTTGAACTCTATCACTTGTATATAATGTAAACGCATATACAGACAAACATATATATATACATATATATATATATTTCGCAACTGCATACATATACCTTTTTTAGCTATTGCGCAAACTTTTACAGATCAGATCAAATATTGTATATGTACATAAAAACAACCAAATATAAGTGATACGTGCTGATCAGTAGCAAATACTTATAAAGCATAATTATTTATTCAGGTCAGTCTATTTGAATAATGTAGAGTGCACTGTTCTCTTTCTGCTCGAAATTCTGCCCCTAGTTAATCAAGTGCGAAGCAGCAAAACTTTATTTGACAGTATTAAAGCTCTGGCGGTTGGGCTGGAATTTCATGAATCAGGAAATTGGCTTGCATATATAATTACGACTAATTCCAAAGGTAAAGGCAAAACAGTTAAATACAGGTTTAGATCAACTTATTCAGATCACTTCTAATACTGCCTGTTTGTGGCCTTCATTATCATTGGGATCTGCGACTTTTCAAGATGTCGAATCAGTTTTGTCTGACTTTTAACTCAAATTCCAAATATCGCCAACTGCCAAATCAGCTTGTGTGCGGCAAATGTTCTAAAGATTCTTAAATAGTTGCAATCCAAAGAATATAACATACTATATTAAATGATTCATGATTCATGGTGTATTCACTGGATCACTCCAGACGCAGTTAAAAATAAAACTAAAAGTTTTTATTTTTATATAAAATGACATTTTGTCAGAACCAGCAAAACCCCAACATCAACAAAGTAAGAAACTAAAAGATAGTAATAAAAGAAATAAGTAGAAACCATTTGTAGAATATATTTTTGTAATCGAAAGGAGCAAAGATCTTTTAACTATATAATATGCTAATTACAAATAACAATCCTTTGATATGGTACGAACGTTAATGTTCTGCTTAACTTTATCAAGCATTAAACGAAAATCTGTAACAAAATAACAGAAAACAAATTTAATTTATGCTAACAATAAATTTAATTTATCAAGTGTCTTACAAATTATAAAAGCGTTTTTCTATAGGTTTGGTATATTGATGGGGAATATAATACAGCGTTGATATAAGAATATACTATATTTCTGGTGAGTATTTAAAGTCGTATTCAATTGATTTTGTGAATGCTAGCTATTGTCTAAATATTTCAATAAAAAAAAATCAATTTCGAGATATTTATTGCTAACAGAAAAAGACATATGGTGTTAGTTGCGTGTGTCAAGTAGTATCGTTTGAGAATCTACCCAGCTAGTCTTCCAAGTTGATCTCTCTTCCATCATTAATGACTCGACTTGTGAATATTAAAGAAAATTAAAATTAATTGAGTTTATTACTATCATTTAAAAAACGCGCTGCTAATGCAAAAATGAGTATTTCAAATATTCAATTTCCCTAATTTACTTCTTCAGTAATCCCAAGAAAGTCCGCCCTTTCTAGCTTGACGTCCTTCATAAAGTATTAAGTAGACTTTTACATTAAATTATAAAAACTTGAAAATCCGGTCAGCTGTCATTAATTAATCAAAAACTGAGCTACAATTCAGTAATATTTTTTTGCATTTGAAATAAAAGGGAGAAATTGCCAAGTGTACATACATATATATAGAACTAACTACTATAATGGCTGATGAAAATTATGATAAAGGTGAGGTAATGACTCAAGTGAGGCAGCAAATCGCTTTGGCGAATGCCCAGGAGATGCTCTCGAAGATGACGGAGAAGTGTTTTAGGAAGTGTATCTCCAAGCCCGGCAAGGCTCTGGATGGGTCTGAGCAACGATGCATTACGCAGTGTATGGATCGCTTCCTGGACACATGGAACCTCGTCTCGCGGACCTACGGCAATCGGCTAGAGCGTGAACAGAACGCAATGCAGAGCGAGAATTTGTTAAACTGAACACTAATTGAATATAAATTGAAAACGTAATTAAAGAGACTTCCGAGTCGTATATAGTTCGTAATGCATCCGTTTCGAATTAAATCTGCTCTGGGCGAGCCCCAAGCTAATGCTCGCTCAGTAATAGGCGCTTATCACGCGTGCAAAAAGATAAGCAGTTATTAGTGAGTGAAAAAGTGCAACGGTATTGCGTCCCCTCCCACCGACTGTAAGACAGCTGACGGGGACGTGTCGGGTAGAGAGGATCTTTGATGAATGTGCTATTCAGCTTGATATGTGCGAAATTCGACGATCGTTATCGTGTTTGGAATGGTCTCGTTAGCTAACGGATGAACATTGACCAAAGCGCACCTTACAGCGTTGTGTAGTTTCGAGACCACTCTAATCCATTGCACCGTTTCTTTCCATATGCAAATTTTCAGCAAATATTTATATTTGTTTTACAAAAAGCAAAGCAAAATACGTTAATTTTTGAAATCGAAGAATATAGAAATCAGGAAAATACAAATCAATTAGTTTCAAAATTACTGTACGGAATTGTAGAATTCAAGAAATTTGCATTGGTCTCAAAAAGCTAGACTCAAATCTTAAGAAATCGTGAAATTGAGTTTAATCAGAATTCAAAAATTAACTGTAGTCAGACTCAAAGTCCGCTGCAGTTTTTGTAAATCGATAATCAAAATATAGTTATTGAATCTAATATATATTACATTACTACTAAGTAAAATGCTTCAATAATGTTTCTAAAATATACTTGAGAACATATAGTATTCTAACTCATTTTGGCGAATATCCTAAAATATTTTGAAAATGAGTTGGCCCCCATCCAATAAAAAAATACGTTCGCTCTATAGCTCAGTTATTTCAAAGCCATAGAAATTTCTTAATTCATATTCTCATATCATATTTTTAGTTTAGAATAAAATGTGCTTAGTAATAGCATTAGTATTACAAATTTCTTTGGCTAACTACTTTATATGGCGCCCCATCAATTAAGGCCCATAAAAAACAAATTACAAAAAAACATGCAAAGCCTTATCTTAAGCTATTTAATTGTTTGTAAGACATCATAACTAAACGATCGTATTAGCGTGAACTTGATTTTTGATAATGATTTGCGAGCAACGAACAAAACAAATTGCTATCAGGTAGTGCTCAGGGTCGGGGGACGTTGTTTAGCAAGTGCAGCTGACCGGTTGCCAAAAAAATTTGTGCAAAATTAAAAAAAAAAAAAAAAAAAAAATAGAAAAATCAAAAATAATAAAAACTGCAAAAGATAAAATGCGAACTTGTTGCCGAACTTATTGGCTCGAATACCAAGAGCAACAAAATCCAACAATGAATTCGCTTTGCTCGACGAGGTACATTCGAAGCCACACAAGTTACGATAAGAACCCGACCTAAAACACCTTCATATAGTGCAGCTCTGTGCTTTCATCCAAAAGCTTTCCAGCCAGTCGACACTATAAATAGTCACAACACCAGCAAGTGCGATGGGTTTGAGTAATCATGGCAAGAACACGATAACACATACATATACCTTATCTACACCTACTAATCGGTACCGGGCCACCGCGGATAGGCTTGCATTGGATGGGCTGGGCAGTGGAAAGGGGGAATACCATTCGGAAAGTTTCGCCATGTACGAGACAATTACACTATCGTATTAGGTAAGCTCATTAATGATAAGCAGCACTTCACAAGATTACCCAAACGTGAGAGCAACTTTGGATGTACTGTAAAAAGATGACAGATAGGCAAAAGCTAGTACATGGAAAGATTATAAAAGCATATATACATAAGGTTATTTTGAATTATGTGAGGTAAAAGGGAATTTATGAATTTATATTGATTCGGTATTCCCATAAACCAATAATTTTATGATTTTTATTAGATCGACAAAATTATATATGATATAAAATGTTTCTATAGTTCAGTGCAGATTGTGAACTAAAAGACAACTTTGACAAATTAGAGCTGTACGTTAATATATTATTTAAGATAGACAGAGATGGAGTATATTTGAATCAAATCTGTAATCCTAAATAATGTCTTAGAACTTTTGCAATGGGAATCGAGATATTATTATATATATTAATACATACACGAGATAGACATAAAATGATCTTGAGATTTACTAATTGTGTACTTATAAATCATTGAAAATTTAATGTAGTTCAGAAGATTTGGTTGCACATTTCCATTCAATTTCTTAACTCAGGCAGACTAGGAAGTAACTGAAAAGATACAGAGAGACAATCTTTAACATCGTGTTGTGTGTCTTATCTACTGTTTGGGAACATGTGTCATACAGTGATTCCCCTCAGAATTCTGAGGACCTGAATAACATTGTAATACATTAGGTGATGCTTATGCAATATATTTAAAATAATTACGTTGTCAGCAGAAAGTTGTTAACTATTCCAAAGAGGCAGACACAGTTGTCGAAATATGGAAAGCCTTTCAGCTAATTATTGCACTGAGCATCGGCCCGTGGGCTATAAAAGGAAATGCTCGGCCGTTGCACGACGCATTTAACCGGATGAATATTAAAAATGCAATTGGGTAAGTCGCACATTGAATTCTAAAGGAAAATTTTCTAAGATCCTTCGTTTTAGTGAACCTCCTGTGGATAGGTCTGCTGACGTTTCCGCAGGCATTCGCCTTGGATGCATGTGCAGGACAAAAATTTGGATATAAAGCCGTCGATCCAGCAGATCCTCATGCATACTACTTATGTTTCGGCTTGCTGGGAAAAATAAGAAACAATTGCGCGGAGGGCTTTCGATTTAATGTGAAAGCACAGAACTGTGCACAAGTCCCTCAGTCAAACATTCAACTGAAAAGTGCAGACAGTGGCGTTCGAAATGAGTTCAACATCAATCAAAACATAACCATGGACAGGCCGATTATTTTTAATATCTTTGGCGGTCTGTGGAATAGGCCACCAATACCACCTTTCTTTCCACCAAAACCCACTTTCCGCCCACCAACGCCACCGACGCCACCGACAATTGAAGTCCCATCTACTGAAAGTTCAAGCTCTAGCTCTGAAGCATCATCAACTGAGAGCTCAAGTTCCAGCTCTGTAGCCTCATCTACTGAAAGTTCGAGTTCCAGCTCTGAGGCCTCATCTACTGAAAGCTCAAGTTCGAGCTCTGCAGCCTCATCTACTGAGAGTTCGAGCTCTAGCTCTGAAGCCTCATCGACGGAGAGCTCAAGCTCTAGCTCTGAAGCCTCATCAACTGAGAGCTCAAGCTCCAGCTCTGAAGCCTCATCTACGGAGAGCTCAAGTTCCAGCTCTGAAGCCTCATCTACTGAGAGTTCAAGCTCAAGCTCTGAAGCTTCGTCTACGGAGAGCTCGAGCTCAAGCTCTGAAGCCTCATCTACGGAGAGCTCAAGCTCCAGCTCTGAGGCTTCATCTACCGAAAGTTCAAGCTCTAGTTCTGAAGCCTCATCTACGGAGAGCTCAAGTTCCAGCTCTGAGGCCTCATCTACTGAAAGTTCAAGCTCTAGCTCTGAAGCCTCATCTACGGAGAGCTCGAGCTCTAGCTCTGAAGCCTCATCTACGGAGAGCTCGAGCTCTACCTCTGAAGCCTCATCAACTGAAAGCTCGAGCTCTACCTTTGAAGCCTCATCAACTGAAAGTTCAACCTCTAGCTCTGAAGCGTCGTCTACTGAAAGCTCAAGTTCGAGTTCTGAGGATTCATCTACTGAGAGTTCGAGTTCCAGCACTGAGGCTTCATCTACTGAAATCTCAAGCTCTAGTTCTGAAGACACCACTGAGGATACGACCGAGAGCTCAACTTCCACTTCTGAGAACTCAACTCCCGAAACCTCAGGCTCTACTTCCGAGGACTCAACTGAGGCAACCAGTTCCAGCTCTGATGATAGCTCAAGTTCCAGTTCAGAGGCAGTTTCGACTGACAGCTCCACTTCAGAGGATGATGATCCATCAGAAAGTTCTACGGACAGCCTTAACACTAGTTCTGAGGAATCATCTACTTCAGATGAAACTGATCCGGTAGAGATTTTTACCGAGGCATTACCAACTTCTTCGGCAGGAACTGAGACCGAGGATGCCAGCTCCGAAGATCCATTATCTACCTCTGAAAATCCGTTTGATGAAACCACTGAAAGTGAAGACACAAGTTCATCAACTAGTGAAGCCCCGATTCTCTCGAAGCCCATAAGAGCTGATGTGGGAAAGCTTGGTAAGAAATTGGAGAGTATTTTATGGATTCCAACAGACGTAGAAACAGTAGAATCCCCTTCAGAGTTTGACAAAAGCGCGCGTTGTGCCCTTCTCCCAAGTGGAGCATATCTAAGAGATCCAACGTCATGTGCCAACTTTTATGTCTGTGCTAATGGACGCGCCATTCTTCGAAAGTGTCCAAGAAATTTGTACTTTGATATTGAGAGTAAGGTGTGCAACTTACCCAACCTTGTAGATTGCTCTCAGCAACAAGAATCCATATCCATTCCAAAGCCATTGACATACAATTTTGGCAATACTGTTGGCAATAGCATAGAGACGACACAATCCGATGAAAATGTCTTAGAAAATAGTTATATAGCTGATGATGACTTGTCGACATCTCTTGATAGCTCAGCTGTTACCACCGACGATCTAGATGACGAGTTAGATGAAGACTCAGAAACATCAGAGTCACCAACATCAGTGTACACAGAAGAGGATATCTTCGACTTTGATGTATTCAACACCAATAATTGGGATGACACTAATTATTTTGACGAAGAATCCATTTGCAGCTCGCAGCCAAATGGTGTACATTTGAGACATCCAAACTCATGCAGTAAATTCTACATATGTGCAAGTGGGCGTGCTGTTTTGCGAAGTTGCCCATCCAGCCTGTATTTCGATATAAAGAAAAGAGTTTGCAATTTCCCTGCTGCTGTTGACTGCAGTATTATCGAAGACGACAGTAGAGATGACGGAAATCCATTCCAGCTGACTGATAATCAGCCCAACCTACTCCTAGCAAATACACTTAGAAGAGCAAAGTCTCCCAAAACACATCAAATTGACAGCGTCACATCAGGCAGCACCTCTATTAAAGTCTCTGCAGCAAAGATGGAGCAAAACAAGTCATCTGCAACTGAGATTCTAAAGACAAACAATGCGGCACTATCCTCAGCGAAACCTCATATCTTACCTTCACAGAATGCGAATGCGCCAAAGAAGCAAGGCAACCTTAATAACGATCTTAAGTATAAGGGATCGGCATCTTCAACGGAAAGAGTTACCTCAAAGGACACATCAGAAGTAGAGCAAATGCAAAACAAATTGTCTGTATCTGAGAATATCAAATCTAAGGAAAAGCCACTAGCTTCACCAATATTGAATGAATCCAATGATCAAGGCAAACCAAATATGGCTCAGAGTCTGAAAACAGATCTATCAAAGGATCAGGGTAAATCAAATAAGGATCTGACATCTAAAGCAGCGGCATCATCATCAACGAAGACCGTTATCGCAAAGTTCACCTCAGAAGTAAAGAATGAGCAAAGTAAACTTTCCGTATCCGAGAGCCTCAAATCAAAGGAAACGTCACTACCTTCAACAGTAACGGATCTGTCCAAGGATATAAATAAACTAGATAAGGATCTGACATCTAAAGCAGCGGCATCATCATCAAAGGAAAAATCAAAATTAGAGGAAGAGCAAAGCAAGCTGTCTGCATCTGAGAACATAAAATCTAAGCAAACGCCACTACCTTCACCAATATTAAGTCAATCCAATGATCAAGGCAAACAAAACATGGCTCAGAATCTGAAAGCAGATCAATCAAAGGATCAGGGTAAATCAAATAAGGATCTGATAACTCAGGCAGTAGCATCTTCTTCGGGAACGGATCTCTCCAAGCATACAAATAAACTAGATAAGGATCTAACATCAACGAAGTCCGTTATTGCACAGGACACATTAAAAGTAAAGGAAGAGCAAAGCAAACTATCTGCAGCTGAGGACATCAAATCTAAGGAAACGCCACTACCTGCACCAATATTAAGTCCATCCAATGATCAAGGCAAACAAAACATGGCTCAGAATCTGAAAGCAGATCAACCAAAGGATCAGGGTAAGCCAAATAAGGATCTGACATCTAAAGCAGCGGCATCATCATCAACGAAGACCGTTATCGCAAAGTTCACCTCAGAAGTAAAGAATGAGCAAAGTAAACTTTCTGTATCCGAGAGCCTCAAATCTAAGGAAACGTCACTACCTTTAACAGGAACGGATCTGTCCAACGATATAAATAAACCAGATAAGGATCTGACATCGAAAGCAGCGGCATCATCATTAAAGGAAACATCAAATGTAAAGGAAGAGCAAAGCAAGCTGTCTGCATCTGAGAACATCAAATCTAAGGAAACGCCACTTCCTTCACCAATATTGAATCAAGCCAAGGATCAAGGCAAACAAAACATGGCTCAGAATCTGAAAGCAGATCAATCAAAGGATCAGGGTAAATCAAATAAGGATCTGACATCTAAAACAGCGGCTTCATCATCAACTAAGTCCGTTATCGTAAAGGACACATCAGAAGTAAAGCAAGATAAAAGCAAACTGTCTGTGTCTGAGAACACCAAATCTAAGGAAACGCCTCTACATTCACCAATATTAAGTCAATCCAATGATCTAGGCAAACAAAACATGGCTCAGAATCTGAAAGCAGATCAATCAAAGGATCAGGGTAAGCCAAATAAGGATCTGACATCTAAAGCAGCGGCATCATCATCAACGAAGACCGTTATCGCAAAGTTCACCTCAGAAGTAAAGAATGAGCAAAGTAAACTTTCTGTATCCGAGAGCCTCAAATCTAAGGAAGCGTCACTACCTTCAACAGTAACGGATCTGTCCAAGAATATAAATAAACTAGATATGGATCTGACATCTAAAGCAGCGGCATCGTCACCAAAGGAAACATCAAATGTAAAGGAAGAGCCAAGCAAGCTGTCTGCATCTGAGAGCATCAAATCTAAGGAGACGCCACTACCTTCACCAATATTGAATCAACCCAAGGATCAAGGCAAACCAAATGTGGCTCAGAATGTAAAAGCAGATCTATCAAAGGATCAGGGTAAGCCAAATAAGGATCTGACATCTAAAACAGCGGCTTCATCATCAATTAAGTCCGTTATCGCAAAGGGCACATTAGAAGTAAAGCAAGAAAAAAGCAAATTGTCTGTGTCTGAGAACACCAAATCTAAGGAAATATTGAATCAATCCAATAATCAAGGCAAACCAAATATGGCTCAGAATGTGAAGGCAGATCAATCAAAGGATCGGGGTAAATCAAATAAGGATCTGATATCTAATGCAGCGGTATCATCATCAACGAAAATAGTTATCTCAAAGGATACATCAGAAGTTAAGCAAGTGCAAAGCAAACTGTCTGTGTCTGAGAACATCAAATCTAAGCAAACAGGGCCTTCATCAATAACTCTCTCCAAAGACTTAGGCAAACCATATGTAGCTCAAAATCTGAAAGCTGATCTACCAAAGGAGCACGGTAAACTTGATAAAGATCTACTATCTAAAGCAGCAGTATCACCATCAACAAAGTCAGTTATTGCACAGGACACATCAAAAGTAAAGCAAGAGCAAAGCAAACTGGCTGCATCTGTGAACATCAAATCTAAGGAATCGCTACTGCCTTCACCAATATTAAATCCACCCAACGATCAAGGCAAACCAAATGTAGCTCAGAGTCAGAAAGCAGATCTATCAAAAGATCAGGGTAAAACAAACGAAACGAATATTATCGCAAAGGACACCTCAGAAGCAAAGCAAGATCAAAGCAAATTGTCTGATAGTCTAAAATCTAAGGAAACGTTACTGGCTTCATCGAAGACGGGTCTTTCCAAGAATCCAAACAGCCCTGAGAATATAAAATCTAAAATTGTGGCATTGCCTCCAACGAAACCAGATATTTTAAGTAATACATCAGGAGTCATCCAAGAGATTTTCGAATCTAAGCAAGGTCAAAACAAATTGTTAGGGTCTGGGAAACTGAACCCTAAGGAATCAAAGGATCAAATAAATTCATCTGTACATGAGAGCCCGAACTCTAATGAAAAGGAATCGCCCTTGATGAAATCAGTTATTACAAAAGATGTATCAAAAACTAAGGAATTGCTATCTGAAGTTGGGAGTGCAAAGTCTAGCGAAACGTTTTTAACTTCAATGAAAGCAGTTACTTCAAATAATAACACGATATCACAGCAAGAGCAAAGTAAAGCATCTCTAGGTAAGGAACTCAAGTCTAATGATAAAAGGAAATCATTGCTCATGCCGAAATCTGGTTTGACGGACAGTAAGCCTGCTGTAAAGAGCGACCCAACAAAGTCATCTGTTGCTGAAAGTCTCAGGTCTAACGACGCAATTCTGGCAAATGACAAATCGATTCAAAATCTAGACCAACGGAAGCTACTTTTATCTGAGAATCTAAAATCTGAGAAAACGGATTCATCATCTACAAATTCAATGGAGCAAATCAAACCAAGTGATATTGTGAAGTCTAACAAAACGATATTACCCTCAGATAAATCAAATCTAATTGTGAACACGCCAAAACCAGAGGACAAGCATTTCAAGCCAACTGCACTTGACTATTCGGATTCCTCAAGGGATCAAGCCCTAGATGAAAATCCTAAAACTCAGAAGATGAGTTTAGCCCAATCGAAAGCAGATCTATCGAAGACTACGTTAAAAGCAGAGCAAAATAAAGCCAAACCAGTTGCGGGGCTAACAGCTAAGGAAACAGTACTGTCCGCCACAAATGTTGATTCCTCAAAAGAAGCATCACAATTGAAGATGGTACAAAGCCAACCAGCTGTAGGCCCGAGTCTGAAATCCAACGAAAAGGTATTATACTCAACGAAACCGGATCACTCAAAGGAACATGACATGCCATCTGCAGCTGAGGCTCTGAAGTACATTGAACACCTTATATCTTCTACGCTATTTGATCTATCAAAGAATGCATCGGCTTTAAAGAACCTCCAGATAGTGTCCAAAGCAGAAAACATAATTGTGCCTTTGGAAGACGAGGTTGACTCCAAATGCCGTTCTTTACCTAATGGTGCTTTTATAAGAGATCCAAATCTCTGTGCTAAGTTTTATGTGTGCTCCAATGGGCGTGCCATACCTCACAGCTGCCCGAATGTTCTCTATTTCGACATCAAAAAGAAGGTCTGCAATTTCCCCAGCCTGGTGGACTGTACAAGCGGAGACGAGGAATTTAGTACAGCTCCAAGTAATCTTTTAAGCCCGAACGGTGATTCTCCATCCGAACCGGATGATTCGCCGATTCCAGATTGTAGTTTATTCCCAAATGGCGAATATATTAGGCATCCAAGATCATGTAGCAAATTTTATGTCTGCGCTAATGGAAAGGCCATTCCTAGACAGTGCCCTAAAGGTCTCTACATAGACACTGAGATAAAATATTGCAATTATCCCATTCGCGTGAAATGCAAGATCGATGATGCAAATAGCCCAAGTGGTTCAGTCATTACAGGCACGGCGGTTAACTGTACCAATAAGAGAGATGGAACCACTATGCGGGACTCTGAGATCCACAATAAGTATTACGTTTGTCGAAACGGTACTCCAGTTACCCATTTCTGTGACCCAGGGAAATGGTTTGACCTTAATCGAGGCGTCTGTGTCCAGAAGCAGTTGGTCGACAACGACCCATTAGTGCCCTGGCTATAATTTCTTTAATGAAGTAATAGAAAATATAAAGATATATGTATATAAGAGGTGTAGGGTTTTGCTATATGGATATGTTTAGGCTGCGATATAGTTATGTAAGCATATATATTATATATATTATATTTGGCTAGGCTGTTATATATAAACATATATATCAAACGATCGAAAGAGCAATACAGTTTCCGCATTTTATTGCAAGGTAATAAATCATATTCTAACATGATGAGATTTATGCTCGCAACATTTATGAATTTATTTTACAGAGTTTTTTCGTTGTGGTAAACACTAATCGAATCAGTAACATCTTGATTAATTCAATTTTCTACCAAGAAACTTGCAGACTCCCCGGCAGACAACACGGCGTATGTTGCTTGGGACGAGTCCTTGAAGTGTGACGACAAATTACAGGACATGGAACAAACAACTGCCGGCTGAGGGGCGGTGGTGTGGAGGGACGATAGGTCGGATAGGCGGATGGGGCGGAGGCAGAACCAGAACGAAATCGATTTTGTTTCAGGGCGATTCACGTGACAATACTCCCGCCAGACATTTTAAAGGCACAGCAATTTGAGTTACATATTCGAAAAGATAAGAAGTGCCAACACCTCATCAAGAGCCACCCCGGAACAAACCCTTGTCACGCTGACTGGCTGCTGCCCCATTACAAGGACATTTGAAAATATAACATTGCGCGAATCTCACGACTCTTATTTCCCAAATATGACTTTACAATAGCTAGTCGAAAATATTAGAATGCCTTTATGGCCCGACCCCAATTGGCATTGTTGGGTTAGGCAGTGCTATAAGGGTTTATTTGCGAATTAGGCGCCAAAAACTGGAGTACAGTAAAATAGTATTATAAATGCCACAGACCGTGAGCGCTCAAAAGAGTGTGGGAGAGAGAGAGGTATAAAGAGAGAGCCCAAGCGGCTCATGGGGTGCGTCCAACTGGCGCTCTCGATGGTGGTTGTTTGGCATGTTAGCGACGACAACGCCGGCTATTGTCAAAATGCAGCCAGAGGTCGCAGTTGGTTTTTGTATTCGCTATCGCATTAAGTGACAATTTAATGCTCGATTCGCGAGTGAGCATTGGTCAGTGACTGAGAGTGGAATGTTATCGAAATGCAAACGACATTGAGTAATAAATGTTAACAATTTACCGTTTCATGCGAAGCCAACGCCAATGCTAACAAAGACGCGCTGCCATTTCCAGGCATTGGCTGTGAGGCTGTAGCGCCATCTCGCTCGCACCGGGATACAACATTCAATCGATAAGCTTAACAGAGGACTGCCAACCTAAGCAGAAGTGTGCAATGTTAACTGAGCGGCCATTGGGGCTAGCGACGAGTAATCGCATTCGCATTCGCAGTCGCAGTGTCAGCGTTAAGACGTTCAGTTGGAAGTGTGCAAAGCGCCATTAGAGCGCCACGAAGTGTGAGTTCTATACATGGTGTGTGTCCTGTGAAATGTGAAACTCTAAATGGGAATGTGCATTAACAAATACATACAGGGCAGCGCACAGAAACCAACACACAACTTTGCTCAGATCATAAAAACAAATACGAAAACCCAGTGTAAGGCGCTCCAGCTCGATTGCCGTTATATTTAGTGTGAGTATTAAAAAAGTCTGCATTTGACAACGGGCGTGAACTTAGGCGCCATCCACGCAGGTAAAGTGCCTGGCTGCAGCTACTTTTATTGTTGCTTAACCAGAGCCAAAAATACGGCAAGCGACAGTAACAATAACAAATGCAACAACAACAATAACAGCAAGATCAACAATAGCGAACTAACATAAAAAAAATTGCTGGCAGTGTAGTAAAAGTTAATCGACAAAGTAGCGAGTAAACGCAACATACAAACCCTCCTCCCAAACACACAATGCCCTGCAGCAGCAGCAGCAGAGGCAGAGGCAGAAGCAGCGACAGAGGCAGAGGCAGTGACAGCGACAGCGACAGCAGCAGCAAGTGCTTTGTCGCTGTTGAGGGTTGTCGTTGTTGTTGTTGTTGCCGTTGTAGTTGTAGCCTTTTATCGTGTGCGCCTGTGCCAGGGGGTTGCTTGGTTTCAGTGCGGCACTTGTATGTGTATATGTGTGCATGTGTGTGTGTGTGTGTGTGACGGTTAATCTCATTCATCAGAGAGTCGAGTTTTACACATTTTTACGCTTGCGAGTATACTACGCTGGCAACACGAACATGGCCGATGATTCGCTCGCTCACTTCCCCCAGCCACCAGCACTCACGACCGCCGTTAACAGTGCTCTCTCTTTCTCTCTCTGAGCGAGCTGTAAGCGCTGCTCAACGGCCCTATGTTAGTATTGCTATCTCGCTTATGCGCACAGAGCCAAAGGCGTAGTTAGTGGTCGATTTTAAAAGTCCTTCACGTAGCGACACACTCGTAAGTATGTGCGTGTGTGTGCGCTGTAAAAGTAGTGTCAAGCACTGCACATAGGTACATGCATAATTACATACTACAATATATGCTAAGAGCAATACACACATCTGTACGATGAAGATGACTTGTATGTGTGTTTTTCGTAGCCAGGGTCATGGTGTATGTATAATGAAATATGATTCTGTCGCACACACACACACACACACACACGCGCACACACACACTTGAATTGTTCTCTGCGGCAGGTGCGAATATACCCAATTTGAATAGGCTTATAGTTTTGGCCCATTTACGCATATTTCTATGTATGTATGTACGTTTGTGTATACGTCTGTATGCTGTGTGGATTCGCACATGCGTATCCACAGTCGTATTAATCATTAAGATGACCTCGACCCTTTCTAGTTTCGTCTCCTCCTGCCCCCACCCCCGTCCGGCCGGCCGGCCATAGATGCTTAATATGTCGCCTGTCAGCTTTTGTGGGCACAAATGAGGAAGCTGCCAACTGTTAACATAAAAATAAATAAATAAATGTGATTGCGATTGCGGTTTGTTGTTGCGGATTTGTTGACAGCTTCCCACCCACAAAGCCAAGCGCCTGCCTACTGCCACGGCATTTGCTATTAATCTGTCGAGAACCGAATCGAATACATCTTTTCTTTTTTTTCTTTTTTTTTTTTTTGCATATATGTATTCGTATATATACATATACATATGCATATATGTAGTTTTGTGCTGCTCTTAGTGGCGTTTGTATCTGGGCTTTGGCATCTTGGGATTGCCCCAGTTGTCACACGTTCGAGCATCTCTAAGCCATTCCCACATACCAAACTAAACCCCATTTTGTCATCGTGCACAATCCTATCTCCAGTTGTATCTGAAACTCATGATTTGGCACTTCTGGCGCTCAAGGAAATAAGCGATATAAGTGGCTTCCGAGATTGTGCGGGGGATTGTTAATCAAATATTGACAGCAAATCAGCGTGTTGAACAACATATGCTAAGAACAGCACAAAAAACAAAAAAGGAAAAAAAGGAAAAATATACATTTAGATTAGATAAATCTGGTTGACATCATTATACAAAAAGACAGGATTGTTTGGTCTTAGCTCTTTAATCATATATGTATAGGTATATGTATGTGTATGCATGTATATGTATTTAAATATGTATGTGTATGTATATGTGGAAAATAAGTAGAAAGTGTGATTGTTTCTGCCAACTCTCAAAACACGACTTAAGTGTAAATGGGTTCTCAGTTTCGTGTGTTGTGTGAATTGTCCCATATAGAATAAACAAATCAGCTAATTAGTTGTTAACGTGTTACAATGTTGCTGAATACTAAAAAGTGGGTGGGGCACTCGGCCTTTATTGGCCGGTGAGCACCTGCCAGGCGCGTATCTTGTTGTCCGAGTAGCCGGCAAAGAGGGTTTGGCCGTCTATGGACCAGGCCAGCGACAGGCATTGCGGCAGATCGCCTTTTGCGGTGGGCGTAACATCCTCCAGCCAGAGATCGAATGCGGCCTTTTTCGATGCCAGGTCCCAGACAATTATGGAGGAGCCGCAGGCCACGCAAAGCCAATAGCGGCAGGGCGAAAAGGACATGGCATTGACCACATCGTGATGGTCCAGCGGATACAGATTGCGTCCGTCACTCAGGTCCCAGAAGAGCACCTTAGCATCCTTGCCGCCCGACGTGCACAGCGAGCCATCCGGCGAGACGGCCACCGTCGAGAGATAGCCAGTGTGGCCGTGGTGATTGTTGCGCAACTTGCAGTGGGTCAGGTCCCACACCTTGACCGTACGATCCCAGCCACAGGAGACGATTAGGGGATTCGAGTGCTTGGGCGAGAAGCGCACGCACGATATCCAGTCGGTGTGGCAATCATCCGTAATGGTGTACTTGCAGTCCGCCAGCGTGTTCCACAGCTTGATGGTGCGATCGCGTGACCCGGACACTATTTGGCGATTGTCCGGCGAGAAGGCAACGGACAGCACATCCTTGGAATGCCCCTCGAAGCGGTGTGTAGTGGCACTGGCAGTCAGATCCCACAGCCGAATGGTGCGGTCCCACGAGCCGGACAGCGCGAAGTTGCCGTCCGACGAGAGCACCACGTCGCTGATGAAATGCGAGTGGCCATAGTTGCGCTTCAGCGTATACCCATAGTTGTTCTGGCTCTCGCGCGTCAAGCGCCAAACGATGATGGTCTTGTCCCGCGACGAGGAGACCAGCAGGTCCGGATCATACGGATGGGGCGCCACCTGAGTCACCCAGCCACTGTGGCCGGACAGCACACCAGCTAATTGTATAACCTCTGGCATATTCTATTATTTTTTTTTTTTTTATTTTCAGATTTTTGTTTAAAAAATGCTTAACTGTAACTCGGTTTCAGTTAACGCGACGATTGCTAGATTCTCACTAAAATCCTTTGAAATGTATTTATATCTGTCAAATCTTTTTTTATCAAGCTTGAATTTCATTAATTATTTGGAATGACATTTTAATGCGTCGCCTCCTTTTGATATTTGCCTTGCTCGTTTCAAGTCCTCCGAAAGTATCCCTTTGATTTGCTTTTGGGTAAACGCTTTATTCAATTTTCGCAAGAATATTATTTGTCCCTTTTGCTGGGCCTTACTGAGACTGCGTGGGCGAAGATTAAATCAGCTTTGCAGAATGCCTGGCTGATAAATACCCTAACCCAGGCTTGCCTTTTATTAAAATGGAATCTAGAATATACATTTGGTATCGATATCAAATATAGATAAAATGCTTAATGAAATAAACTTTTTATACCCTGAACCCATTGAAAATGGGAAATCAGGGTATAATGGTT